CTTTACTAGCAGGACCAAACCTGACAGATCCCCCCTGCCTTTACTAGCAGGACCAATTTTGCCCCAGATCCCTAAGTGGCCCCCTTGAGGATTGAGGCTCAAACCACTGAGCTATCTCCCCTGCCCCCAGGTTGCTGTTGGAAATGTAATCCTTAAAAAATGGCTCTCCCTTCACATACACACAAGGAGGAAAAATTAAGAACTCATGGGTGAATAGGTTCAGATCTAAGGGCAAATAGGTTCAGTAATTCCAGGAGCCATTGAAAGGCCACTTCAGAGCACTCTTTGCCCTCGTTGTTACTATTGTAATCTTTCATACAATTTCCCTAAAAATCTTAGTCTGAGCATTGATTTTACATGAGTCTGAGTTCTAAATGCAAAACTCATTGACATGAATGATTGCAGTTCTGTTCAATCTGTGGCAAGGAATTACCCATTTAATGTTTAACCAGCAGCTATGGAAGACACTAAATGGCCTTACTCTAGTAAGGACAGTAAAAGTCTGTCTCTTGAAACAATCTATTTGGATCATTTGAAATACTGATAACAAGGCCTTTTACATATGTCTACAGTGCAATTCAAAACCTGTGACTGGCCCGTGTCAGCTGACTTGGGCTTCTGGGCCTCGGGCTAAGGGACTGTTTAATTGTGGTGTAGACGTTTAGGCTCAGGCTCAAGCCGGGGTTGTAGAACCCTGCGAGGTGGGAGGTTCGCAGGCCCGAGCCCAAATATCTGCATCACCGTTAAACAGCCCCTTAGCCCGAGAAACCAGGCATGGGCCAGCTGCAGGCGTAGAATTGCAATGTAGACGTACCCTAACACTAAACTATGACGACATGCTAGGGTGGATATTATGATACCCAATCTAGACGGCCCACATGTAATGATTCTGTGCTTACTCAGTGTTTTGGCAAACACATGGCTGGCCAGTGCAGGCTTGGAAAATGAGAGCCTAGAATCATGTGTAAGAGAATAGTTAACATCCCTTGGTTTATATCGTAGAAAGCCTTTAAACTGTGATGGTTCATCCATTTTTGCAATCGTTTTCCTGCCTGCATTACAAGATATGTATGTATGCAATCCCTTGCAAAGCTGCTTTTCTTCTTTGGGAGGTTCTTGAGGACTCAGATCATGGTTTCCAGTAGCTAATGATTATTTATTTTATAATGTAGAGTTTTATGATACTCCATTGATTTTTCACTCATCT